GCCCATTCCTGTTCCAACATGACTGCATACCAGTGCACAAAGCAAGGTCCATAAACACATGGATGAGCAACTTTGGGGTGGAGAAACTTGACTGGTCTGCACAGACTCCTGACCTCAACCGACAGAACACCTTTGGGATGAATTAGAGCAGAGACTGTGAGCCAGGCCTTCTCATCTGACATTAGTGCCTGACCTCACAAATGCATTTCTGGAAGAATGGTCAAACATTCCCATAGACACACTCCTAAACCTTGTGGATATCCTTCCCAGAAGAGTTGAAGCTGTTATAGCTGCAAAGGGTGGGCCAACTCAATATTGAACCCTACGGACTAAGACTGAGATGCCATTAAAGTTCATGTGCTTGTAAAGGCAGGCGTCCCAATACTTTTGGTAATATAGTGTAGTAGATGAGGCTGAACAAAGACATCAGTTCAACCTGTGTGGGTGTGTGTATGCATTTCTGTTCCCATATCCCTATATATTTATTACGCTAAGGTGCCTATCTAAGAGTTTTTTTAAATTGTTAACACTTCCTACTGACACCATTGAAGAGAGTTCCACATCTTTCAAACAGTAAAGAAATCCAAACACAGTGTAAAGTGGAAGTAAAGGCAAATCCTAACTAACTCTAAACCTACTGCCAGTCACATTCTAGCACTGTAGAGAAAAAAATCAGTATACTTACCTGTTCTGCAGACAATTTGGTCTGGGCTCCAGCAGTGCCCTCTGTACACTGGAGACAGCCAACAATGGCTGGAAAATGCCTGGGAAGTAATGTCACTCATAGAGTTACTATGGGGCTTCCGTTGTCAGCTGCCTCTCCTACACATTCTTACACGTTGAAACCACCGCTGACAGCTCAGCATGGGACAGCTCAGAGCATCTGCAAAACAAGTAAGTATATAGATTTTTCCTTTACAGAGCTAGATAGATTAGGCTTAGAATGTGGCTGAGAGTAGGTTTAGAGTTAGTTATGATTTGCCTTTACACCCACTTTAAGGTGAAACTGTTCCCATCCTATCTATGTCCTATTGGGAGATTTCCCTTTATTTCCTGTACTAGAAACACAACAGGAAGCAAGAGAAAATCTCTTAATAGTTAGGGAAATGCTTAGTGTGCCACAGGAACATCTGATTTACCCTCTGTTCTTGTTCTGGTGACAACTCTAATATATATAAAATAGAGAAAGACTTCCTGCGCTGCCACTCTCATGTTACTTTAATGGTCTGTACGAAGCGGCTAACACCTGACTATATACCAGATAGTGAGGATGCAATAAACAAGAATGGTGCTTTAATATATAAAAATAAATTAAGAGAAAATTAAATATCCCACAGAAACTTGACACATGTGAATCATAAATGGCACAAATGCACTGGCATCAGTGAAACAAAATAAGTGAAAAGCACATCCTATACTCAAGACATGTGCCATAAGTGAACCGTGCATAAAATAAAAGAAAAAAAATATATAATATATAATGATGTGAACAAATATGAAAAACAAGGAATGAACCAATAAAATGATATTCATTCAAAAACCAATGTGATATATATCAGTGCAAAATGAAACATCAGTGAAACAAAGCATAAACATAAAAAACTAAAATGTCAAAATGATGTGAAAAATGTGAAAAAGTCCAAAATAGACTACAATGTGTAAAGTCCATCAAATGTTCTCAAAAATTTAAGATCTTCCTATCATTTTCTGTCTCAGTGGCAAGGACAAATAGAATGGATAAATATACTGAGCAAGGACACAGAAGGAATAAAACCTGACAAGGGATCTAAGCAATTCCTATCCCATCTAAAGCTAATAAAACATTTTATTTATTTTATATATTATATATATATATATATATATATATATCTTTATATCTTGCTTAGCTAAAACGTATACATAGTTAATAATTTAATTCTTGTCATTCCATGTTACTACGCATGTTAGGTGATTGTAAAGAAGAGTCAAGAGCCCAAAAACCTAACTCTGTGTTTTATTTTTTTCCTCTTCAGGACCATTACAGTTCACATAGGGCAGAACTGTATTCTACATATCACCAAAAAAAACCACAGAGCTCAAATGCTGCATTTGGGTAGTTTCAGTTATTTTGACTTGGCTCAAAACTTTGTGCCAATTTTCATCAGTCTTTTTTTCATTGAAATTATAGTCAATCCTTTTGCCTGTTCAATGCACGTTTGCAAGTACATTCTTATCAGTGTTATTCTTCTGTGAGTTTTTCATTCCCTCCCTGGTAATTGTACAGATAATTTTCACGGAGCTCGTTTTCCCTGTTTCAGACATTTTTCTTTGCATTCAGACAGCCATCCCATCATTTAGATGATTGCCTGGTGCAGGTGGACTCAATTTATCTGAACTGTTCCAGGGCCTTGCTGCCCTTTTTGATGTCATCTGAAATGAATTTTACTCAACAACTGTGGAATTCAAATATGTTGATTGTATAGAACAGCACAGGCCAACCTTACTTGGCTAATGTAGAAACAGATGTTAACTGTATTATATTTGTCCCTCTCATTAGAAGTTGGCAATCATAAATAGTTTAAATTAGAATCGTTGATTGACCAGATGGTGAACACATCTTAGAACATTGTCTGTTTAGTACAATTTAATATGATTTTCTACCAATTGGCATTTTAAAGTGCTTTATTTGCTCGCAGACTGAGTAAATTATATCAAGGATCTTTTATAAAGCTTAGTGTTCATAATTAGGTGTTTGTACAGGGTTTTTATGTGATAGTGGGAAAGAGACTGTTTGAATGTCATGTCTGTGTTAGCAACTGGCTAACCAGTAACCAGTAAAGGTTTTCATTTATAAAATGATAGATATCTGTTTTTTCTGGAATGCACATAAACATTGCATTTTTTTATGCTCTTATGTTATTAGAAACTGGGTAATATACATTTATGGATTAGAAGTTACACATTAACCACTACCCTACAGGGCACTTATACCCCTTTCCTGCCCAGGCCAATTTTCAGCATTCAGCGCTGTCGCACTTTGAATGACAATTGCGCGGTCATGCAACACTGTACCCATATGATTTTTATCATTTTTTTGAGACAGATAGAGCTGTCTTTTGGTAGTATTTAATTACCTCTGGGTTTTTTATTTTTTGCTAAGCAAACCAAAAAACAGCTGAAAATTTAGAAAAAAAAAAACATGTTTGCTTTGTTATAAAATTTTGTAAATTAGTGATTTTTCTCTTTCACTGATGTGTGCTAATGAGGCTGCAGTGATAGGCACTGATAGGCTGCACTGATGGGCACTGATGAGGAGGCACTGATAGGTGGCAATGATGGGTATAGACAGGTATCACTGATGGGCACTGAAAGGCAGCACTCATATATGGCACTGATAGGTGGCACTGATCGGCAGCACTTGTCACGATCGTGGCGTCAGACCCCAGCCCTTCTCACCAAACTCGTGATGACTAGCCAGTCTAAAACCGCGATGTCACATGCGTAACAATGCCACACCCAGCTGCACCCTGCACAATGATTTTCCAGCTAATTAGACCACAATCGATGTACTGGCAGCCTGAGCGATTGTTACTGGGTCAGGTTAATTACGCAATTAACCCTTCACACTGCCACCACCTCCTTTTAGTACAGAGAAAGAGGAAAACTCGGCAATATCAGCTAAAACACTATAATGGTTGAGATAATCGTCTGCATAATACGGTCACTGCAGGCCAATTATGCAGAGAGTTAAACAAACACAGTAGCGTTCTCTTTAGAGGCAGGAATTCGTAAATTGCTTCCGGAATTCGTATATTGCTTTCAGAAGGAAAAATGTATTACTAAAAGGTCAAACGGGTGCAATAAAAATATTTACAGAAAAGATGTAACTAAGATATATATATTTAAACATACAGAGACCAACAGCACAGCAAAGAGATATCAGAGAGAGGTGAAAGGGTTAAGGTACTTGCCAAAGTCCTGGGTTAGCAGATCCAAGTTTCAAAGCAAAAGGGCACGGGTCTCCCCAGGTAGTATTGATGTTAAAATGGGAGACGTCTTCAACTTACACTCTTAGGCCTGACAGCCTATTTTGTAGTCCCCAGCAGGGGGTGTCTCTGAAGTCAAGGACCAATGCCCTGTTTAGGGCGTGTAGGTATGGGTGGATACCTCAACTAGAACCAAAATCTCCCGTAATTCATATTTTGGCCCATAACTTTCCAGCTGCACAAGTGACATTCCACCCGTGGGTAGATCATTATGCAGACACGTCTGATGATTGATTAGATATGAATTATGAAATTATACACTGTACGGTTCTCGAGATCTACTTTTCTGTGTTCCTATGTATCTGAGAAAATGCGAGTGACCTATCAAACTGTTCGCCTTCTCGTGGCCAATCTGATGATAGGTCCGGTTTTTATGTAAGTCTCTCATATTCCAAGATATGAGACATAGGGGAGAAATGGATTTTGAAAAGTGTTTATCTGATTCTGTCACCTACGCTGAGTTAGGTTTATTAGGTTGGAATCTCTTTCAACTCCTGGGAAAGCTTGCCTTATCTCTTACGAGGTGTTACAATTTGCAGGTTCTTTGGACAGGGAAGCCCCGGCTCCCTTGGGGGGCTTTATACCTCCTATATCCTTCCTGTGACATTCCCAACTCACACAGGTACTGGCCAAATGTCCCTGGGCTTCTCTAAGGAGGGAGGGGGGAAGAATGAGGGAAAAAAAAAATATATTTGTCAGGATGGTTAATACCTTTGCCAAGATGGAGGTTGAAGCGAAAATGGGTATACGCTGTTACACAGCACTGACTGGTACTGATAGGTGGCACTGACTGGCACTATTAGGTGGCACTGACTGGCACTGTTAGGCGGCACTGATAGGCAGCACTGACAGGCACTGATAGGCGACAATGATGTGCAATGATAGGCGGCACTGACTGGCACTGATAGGCAGCACTGACTGGCACTGATAGGTGGCACTGATTGGCAGCACTGATAGGTGGCACTGATTGGCAGCACTGATAGGTGGCACTGATTGGCAGCACTGATAGGTGGCACTGATTGGCAGCACTGATAGGTGGCTCTGACTGGCATTGATAGGTGGCACTGAAAGGCAGCTCAGATGGGCACTGATATGTGGCATTGATGTGCACTGGTAGGCACTGATATGTGGCATGGATGAGGCACTGATGGGCACTGGCAGGTGGCATTGATGAGCACTAACAGCTGGCATTGATGGACACTGACAGGTGGCACTGCTGGGGCTACACTGATCATCAGGGCACACCGATCATCAGTGCCCCGATGATCAATGTACATGTCCCCTCCGAGGAATGCCGATTATTGCCTCTCCTCTCCTCTCGAGCTGTCAGAGTGACAGCTTGTGAGGAGAGAAATGCTGATAACATGCATTTCCTTATTTACATGCGATCAGCTGTGATTGGACACTGCTGATCACATGACCGAGCCGACATCTTCGGCTCTTTCCATTGATTGATGATCTGCTGTGTTTGAGGGACACAACGCACCACTGTTTTCCATGCTGCACGCTCCCAGAGTTGCGCACACGTGGTTATAGTGGGAGGATGTCATATGATGTCCTTCCAGAACGAGAGTACCACCTTGCACCTGCCATTTCCTTATATGGCGGGCTGGAGGCAGTTAAGGCCCTGTTTGCACTAAAATGCACCTTTCCAGTGCAAAAAAAGCACATTAAAAAATTGTTCTCTTTAAATCCTCTGCAACTGTTCACATCACTGTGCTGCAAGCACTCAGCATTTTTTGATGCATGCTGCATCTTTGGTGCCCTTTCATAAACACACCATAAATGCACCTCCCTTTGAAATCAATAGGAATGCATCAAGATCATTTTTTGAATCACATATCGTTTTTTTCTGAAGTGACCAGGGATAAAAAGGGATGCAAAACGCATCTAAAACATGTATGTGATGCATTAAATTTTAATTCAGCACATTAAAAATGCATCAAAACACGTTATGTGTTCTTGAACAACACACACTGTGTTTTTTAAGCACACCAGGAATTTTCACCAGGACTTTTCATTAATCTTGTTATTAAGTCTACAAGTCTATCCAAATAAATTGTTGACATGTCACGATATACAACAGTGTGAATACATATGGTATATATATATATATATATATATATATATAGAGAGAGAGATATATATATATATAGATATATACATATTTTTTCTTATTATAAATCAGTACTCAAGCTCTAGTTCAGTAGCTTTTCCTAGGATTCATCATTCTGCAGGCAGGTGGAAGCATTCAGAAAACGTTCAAGAATAGCTTAGAGAATTTTCATATATTTATGAAAGTTGTAATGCATTTATCAAAGACATTTGTAATAAGTAAGGAAATAGGCTATATTATAGTTTTTTACATTTTGGTATGTGGATGAATTTAACTTACTGTATAAATATATTATTGATGTTATGACATAGGAGTCTGTGTAACTTGAAAGCTCCATAATTTTGTTTTATTACATATGTATTAAAATTGAACCCTGAGCATATACTTTAATTTTAAAATTATGGAGACTTACTGGTTAGACCATTCTTAGTAACTATGAGTTAGAGTGAATTTCTGTTCCCCATTTTTCCATGTTCTGTTTTCAGTATTGAAAATGCATTATACTAGTGAAAATACATTAAAAACAAAAATATCAAGCTACTGGAATAAAAGTTTGAAATACTAAAACACATCAGCAATCCGTGGTACGCAGCGTCCTTACATCTTAAAAATATCCGCCTGAGTTTTCAAGCATGCTGATGCTGAGCTAAGTACATTTTCAAAGCAGGCCATGGCAAATAAAAAAAATCCAGTTAAAAAAGTAAGAGGATTTATGTCTGTGTGCCCTACAAGCTTTGAAAATGTCTCCTGCTGAGTTCAAATGTGACTACTTTTAATCCAGACAGCACCAAAAATTACCTGATAACACATTCTGTAAAATTAAAAAAAAAAATGGCAGATGCAGCATAATATATTTGAATTTGGCATGTTTTCTAAAAACCTAACTCTCGCAATTTAGGTTTATTTACTACCAGTTTACTTCAAACTGTTTAATCTCTTAGTCTGTACATAATTGTAATAGCTCTGACATCAAAACATACAGGTGAAACTCAAAAAAATTAGAATATCGTGCAAAAGTTCATTTATTTCAGTAATGCAACTTAAAAGGTGAAACTAATATATGAGATAGACTCATTACATGCAAAGGAAGATAGTTCAAGCCGTGATTTGTCATGATTTTGATGATTATGGCTTACAGCTCATGAAAACCCCAAATCCATAATCTCAGAAAATTAGAATATTACATGCAATCAATAAAACAAGGATTGTACATAGAACAATATCTGAAAAGTATAAGCATGCATATGTACTCAGTACTTGGTTTGGGCCCCTTTTGCAGCAATTACTGCCTCAATGCAGCGTATCATGGAAGCTATCAGCCTGTGGCACTGCTGAGGTGTTATGGAAGACCAGTATGCTTCAATAGCGGCCTTCAGCTCTTCTGCATTGTTCGGTCTCATGTCTCTCATCTTTCTCTTGGCAATGCCCCATAGATTCTCTATGGGGTTCAGGTCAGGCGAGTTTGCTGACCAATCAAGCACAGCAATCCCACTGTCATTGAACCAGGTTTTGGTGCTTTTGGCAGTGTGGGCAGGTGCCAAGTCCTGCTGGAAAATGAAGTCAGCATCCCCATACAGCTCATCTGCGGAAGGAAGCATGAAGTGCTCCAAAATCTCCTGGTAGATGGCTGCGTTGACCCTGGACTTAATGAAGCACAGTGGACCAACACCAGCAGATGAGATGCCTCCCCAAATCAACACAGACTGTGGAAACTTCACACTGGACTTCAAGCATCTTGCAGTGTGTGCCTCTCCATTCTTCCTCCATACTCTGGGTCCTTGGTTTCCAAATGAGATGCAAACGTTGCTTTCATCAGAAAAGAGGACTTTGGACCACTGAGAAACAGACCAGGTCTGTTTTTCTTTAGCTCAGGTAAGACGCTTCTGATGTTGTTTGTTGTTCAGGAGCGGCTTGACAAGAGGAATACGACATTTGAAGCCCATGTCCAGGATCCGTCTGTGTGTGGTGGCTATTGATGCACTGACTCCAGCCTCAGTCCACTCCTTGTGAAAGTCCCCAACACTTTTGAATGGCCCTTTCCTGACAATCCTCTCCAGGCTGCGGTCATCCCTGCTGCTTGTGCACCTTTTTCTTCCACACTTTTCCCTTCCACATAACTTTCTATTAATGTGCTTTGATACAGCACTTTGGGAACATCCAACTTCTTTTGCAATTACCTTTTGATGCTTTCCTATTTCATGGAGGGTGTCAATGATGGTTTTCTGCACAACTGTCAGGTCAGCAGTCTTTCCCATGATTTTGATTCCTACTGAACCAGACTGAGAGACCATTTAAAGGCTCAGGAACCCTTTGCAGGTGTTATGGCTTAATTATCTGATTAGAGTGGGACACTTTGAGCCTAGAATATTGCACCTTTTCACAATATTCTAATTTTCTGAGATTGTGGATTTGGGGTTTTTCATGAGCTGTAAGCCATAATCATCACAATTATGACAAATCACGGCTTGCACTATCTTACTTTGCATGTAATGAGTCTATCTCATATACAGTATTAGTTTCACCTTTTAAGTTGCATTACTGAAATAAATTAACTTTTGCACGATATTCCAATTTTTTGAGTTTCACCTGTATACTGTATAATACATTTACATTTTGGTTAAAAATACACTATCACATTTCCCAGTCAAGGTGGCATGGCAAAAAGGCATCTCTTACTCACTGGTAACTTCTTGTTAGTGTTGCTGAAGTGCAACATATCTGATGATTCTGGGTATGGGGTAGCATGTAACCTCCTGCCTAGCGGCTAATTGCTAGTTATGAACACTATCACATGACAGAGGGAGTGATATCACCACCTCCTTAGCATTTAATGTCAGCCGATGCTGTATTTTAGTGTTGGCTGCAATGGAAGACACAGTGGGAAGAGTGCTGGCAAGTTGAGTAGTTTTATGGGAAGAGTCCTTTACAATGACACTGTCATTGTGCCCTGAATGGGCACTGCTTGGTGTAGTCAAAAGAACAAGGCTTGCAGTTATGCAGATTTATCCTATTATGGCCTCTTCTGTAAAGAAATAAACATCCTCATTGTCTATTCTAAGGCTGCTGCTAGAGCTAAACCATTCCTACTTGCCACACTTTGTCTAATGCAGTGTTTTCTCAACTCCAGTCCTCATGGACCCCCAACAGGTCATGTTTTCAGGATTTCCATTATTTTGCACAGGTGATTTGATCAGTTTCACTGCCTTAGTAATTACCACAGCTGTTTCATCTGAGGGAAATCCTGAAAACATGACCTGTTGGGGGTCCATGAGGATTGGCGTTGAGAAACGCTGGTCTAATGAGAGTGTCCCATTGGCTAATTAGGATGCTCCAATTGGGCAGGGGGATGGTGATTGGTTAGGATGGTGCTTAACTCTAAAGATAAGGAAACTCATTCCCAAGATAAAACTTTTTATATGTTTAGAAATGGCTTACAGATTCAGTTTAATGCAGTTTTTAACTTTTTGTATTCAGCTGCACTGAACCAGTGCTTACAGGTCCACCATATACAGAAAGTGAGCCATTGAAAAGATTTTAGGAAAGGATACATTTTAATGTTTTTTGTTTCTGCATTTGCACAGTGTTTTTCGGCTGGTTTGAGCTCCTTTGAAATGTTTACCTTTAAGCTGCCTCGTTAACTGTAATCAATATACATTCTATGATTAAATGATGACAGCACCTAGAGTTTTGTGTGCTTCTAGTCATAACAAAAGTTGGGTTGGGCAGAAAAAGGTATAGTTATGCTTTATATATCAGATGTTCCTTATGTTTAAAGTCTATTTATGGAGTAAGATATTTTTGTTAGCACTTAAATTCTTGATGCCTGGGGCAACCACTGCTATAAAATGACCCCCCCCCAATAAAATGTTAATGTAAACATTGTACATTTATATTTAGGTTGTAAGTAAATAAATTAAATTTAAACTGGAGTTCCAGTTGAATAAAAAAAAATAAAAGTCGGCAGCTACAAAAACTGTAGCTGCTGACTTTTAAAATACAGACACTTACCTGTCCCTTGGGTCCAGCGGTGTCCTCACCATGGCTGGTTTCACCAGTTGTCTTCACTCCCTGGCGCCGCTATCTTCAGTGTGAGCACCCAGCTGTTACAGCTTGTGGCTTCACAGCCGGGTGCCCATTGCGCGTCTGCGAGTGGCCCTGTGCTTTATGAATAGCCCCATAGTCTTCTGGGACCTGTCCCAGAAGACTATGGGAAGGGTGGTGGGAGGACAACTTCCGCTTCTGATTGCCTTAGGCGATCGCAGTGGAAGCGGGAGCAGGTACCTGCCAAATTCAGGTACTTACTCCCCCCCTCTTCCCAAAGGTG